TAATCCCAGCACTTTGGGAGGCTGAGGCAGGTGGATGGTCTGAGGTCAGGATTTCAAGACCAGCCTGGTCAACATGGTGAAACGCCATCTCTACTAAAAATACAAAAATTAGCTGGGCATGGTGGCAGGCACCTGTAATCTCAGCTATTCAGGAGGCTGAGGCATTAGAATCATAGCTTGAACCTGGGAGGCAGAGGTTGCAGTGAGCCGAGATTACACCATTGCACTCCAGCCTGGGCTACAAGAGCGAAACTCCATCTCAAAAAAAAAAAAAAAAAAGAATAAAATATAGGTTAGTATAACGAGGGATAAGATACTACAATTTCTGCAAAGCTAAGAAGACTAAAGCAACTTGGGGAGATATCAAGCTATAAGTAAATGCTTAGAAACACAGTGTGCTATACACGTAGTACTATACTACTTCAATCACTACCTTTGTTAAGGGCTACTTATATAAAGGCACAACACAGAAGTCAAAAAAAAAAAAAAAAAAACCTGTCTTGCAAAGAATAGAAAACTGTCTTCTTTTTTTTTTTTTTTTTTTTTGAGACGGAGTTTCACTCATGTTACCCAGGCTGGAGTGCAATGGCGCCATCTCGGCTCACCGCAACCTCCGCCTCCTGGGTTCAGGCAATTCTCCTGCCTCAGCCTCCTGAGTAGCTGGGATTACAGGCACGCACCACCATGCCCAGCTAATTTTTTGTATTTTTAATAGAGATGGGGTTTCACCATGTTGACCAGGATGGTCTCGATCTCTTGACCTCATGATCCACCCGCCTCGGCCTCCCAAAGTGCTGGGATTACAGGCTTGAGCCACCGCGCCCGGCCAGTCTTCTTAATTAGAAACATTTTTTCTGGCTGGGCACAGTGGCTCGCACCTGTAATCCAAGCACTTTGGAGGCCAAGGCGGGCAGATCACCTGAGGTCAGGAGTTCAAGACCAGCCTGACCAACATGGTGAAAACCCTTCTTTAAAAAAAAAAAGAAACATTTTTCTTTAATTATAAACCTTTTTGAATCCTCAAAAAAAAATATTCATAGATTTTGGTACTATTGAGAACCTGTCACAACCAAAGTTCAGCTCACTCTTTGGAGAACCCTCTTTATTCCTTATCTTCCTCTCTTTCTCAGTCATTTCCCACATTGCTTTCAAGCTGTATGTCTTGTCTTTTCTTGCTGAGTTCCCAAATCGTGATCATTGCTTAGTATCTGACTTGAGACTCTGTTAAGGATAGGGTCCTGCCTCCTGAAGCTCAGAGAATGGCAGGGTCAGGTTTTGGCGTGTGGTTCCCAGCAAGGGTGCTGAAGACAGGCAGCTCTTCCCTGGCGTTCTGCCCTAGCACAGAGTGCACCATAGGTCCTATGAATGGCTGTCCTGTGAACAACGAGAGGACAGAAGGGAACTGTGCAGGCTTCCCTCCAGCTGCAGACGCCAAAGCACACACAGGGCCTGCTGACTGCAGCTGGGGAGTCCTGAAATGGCCTTGCATTTATGTGAAGTGCTCATCCAAGCCATGATCCAGAACAGTGCCATTATAAGGACACCTGAGATTGTCTCATTAACTGCAGCGCAGCCTCTCATCAGTGTCTCTCATCCCACTCTGCTGAGCTCTGAGCAATATTTAAATGAATTGGAGGCAGGCCAGGAGTTATTTTCCCTTCCCCTTTTCTCTATTTTCTGACTTATTCTCCCAGGGCTGTCTGTTCTTATGACAGTTTTCACAGCCAAAGGTCAGTATATTTCTTTTCAAAAGTCCTGTAGATCCTCCCACTCCTGGCATCCTTTCACCTTCTTGTGAATGATGAAGGTGAAATAGAAAAGGTGAACCTTTTGATAAGGAGGAAACACAATTTCTCTTCTTCTCTGCCAGACACTTCTTTTCATTTCCTAGCAGATTTGCTCTTAAGTTACAATCAATGTTAAGCCAAAACAAAGCTATGGTAAAATGCTAATAGACCGTTGGGCTCTGGGACATTGTCAGAGGGAGGGAGGGTGGAAGTAGACTCAAGAAAAAAAAAAAAAATCAGGGGCTGGGCATGGTGGCTCATGTCTTGTAATCCTAAGACTTTGGGAGGCCAAGGTGGGCAGATCACCTGAGGTCAAGTGTTCGAGATCAGCCTAGCCAACATGGCAAAACCCCGCCTCCACTAAAAAAATACAAACATTATCTGGGCGTGGTGGCACATGCCTGTAATCTCAGCTGCTTGGGAGGCTGAGGCAGAAGAATGGCTTGAACCCAGGAGTCGAAGGTTGCAGTGAGCTGAGATCACACCACTGCACTCCATTGTAGGTGACAAAGTGAGACTGTGTCTCAAAAAAAAAAAAAAAAAGAAATCAGGGAATAATAAAAGCTGTCACTTGTAAAAATACATATTGTGTGCCAGGCATTGTGCTAGATACTAGAGATTCATTGATAAGTTAGGTAAAGATGATATTCATCTGAGAACTCCATTTTTCAGTTAATAGATGCCCTGTTCACAGTAGGGACTCAACATCATTGGATTAAAAGGTTTACTAATAGGTTGAATGTCAGCAATGTTTGCTCTAGATTCTCTTGCTTGTGTGTGCAATAGTTCAATAAATAAGAAATTCCTTTGGACAGTAATACCATGGATCTAGCCTTTTAATGAAGAATATCCAAAGTACTCCTGGCAGAGAAACTGGCAATCAGTTTGGGTGGTGGAGCATAACTATCCTACCTCTAGATGCAGTGGTCTGCAAATTCAAAGAGGAAAGTGTTTAAGTGTGGTTCAGAAACCATGAGCAAATATTAAATGTCGTTACACTTAGCACTACCTCAGCTAAGCCCTCTAACTGTTCAAAGATGGCATCCACTTCAGGAAGAAGTTATGAGGCCTATTTGATGGAGAGTAAACATTTTACACAACCAGATTTGTTCAGTTGGTGCCTCCATTTTTCAGTTAACACAGAGGCTGACTTGCACATGATAGCACTCAGACAGCTGTTAAGTTGAAATGTTAGCTAAGCCTGCCTGATAAATTGTTTTGGTTTTGGTATTTCATGATAAATATGCCCATAGTTTAAGAAATCCCCATTAACATTAATGCCGTGGATCCAGACTAGTAAGGATAAACAAATTTTCTTTCTTAAACTCAATTTCTTTTCTTTTTTTTCCTGAGACAGAGTTTTGCTCTTGTTGCCCAGGCTGGAGTGCAATGGCGCAATCTCAACTCACTGCAACCTCCACCTCCCAGGTTCAAGCGATTCTCCTGCCTCAGCCTCCCAAGTAGCTGAGATTACAGGCATCCATGCCAGGCCAATTTTGCATTTTTAGTAAAGACGGGGTTTTTCCATGTTGGTCAGCCTGGTCTCGAACTCCTGACCTAAAGTGATCTGCCCGCCTTGGCCTCCCAGAGTGCTGGGATTACAGACATGAGCCACCATGCCCGGCCTTAAATTCAATTTTTTTAAAACATTGCTCAAAATCAAGTTTTATGGCAAATTTCATCACTTAGTCTGAAACTTAACTCTCATTTTTGTCAGGTTATATGTTACCTGATCAGATGATAATGGCCCCAAACAAAGCCATAACATCAGCATGGCCAGATATTTTTCTTACTCACTCTTATAGTGCTTTAAGATCACAACGTCGTATAGTGGAGAAAGTTGCCATGTTTTTCTGCCTCTTTATGACCCTGACTCAATCAGTGAGGAGGTAGCCAATCTTTTCAGGTATTTGAATGTTCTGGGGCCTCAAGGAATCCATTTACTAAACTATAAGCCCCCCAACTCAAAGTGCCTGAAAAGGCAGGAGGGTGGGGTGGGAAAAGCAAGCTCCTCACTGCAGAGCAGCTTGAGGCAGCACTGTGGCTGACAGCACATGTCTGGAGTCAGACCCATCTATATCCCGGGACCACTACCTACTTGAGCAAACCACGCATGATTTCTGTCCTCTCTTTCCTCACCTGTAAAATGCAGATTGTCAGGCTGATGATATGATAAAAAGTAGTGCCAGATTCAGTGGCTCACATCTATAATCCCAGCACTTGGGAGGTCAAGGTGGGAGGACCACTTGAGGCCAGGAGTTCAAGACCAGCCTGGGCAACATAGCAAGACCTTGTCTCTAAAAAAAATGACAGCGTCATGCCTGGATGATGGGGGTCACGCCTGGGTCATAATAGGGTGTGGTTGTGCATACCTGTAGTCCCAGCTACTTAGGAGGCTGAGGCAGATGATTACTTGAACCCAGGAGCTCAAGGCTGCAGTCAGCTGTGATCACACCACTGCACTCCAGCCTGAGTGAAAGAGCGAGACCCTCCACCATGGTTGACAGAGCGAGATCCTGTCTCATAAAAGAATAAATAAATATTAGATATTTGATGGGTTAGCTTATGAAAAGCATTCAATAAATTACCATTAATAGCATCACTCCAGGAAAAGTCACTTCTCCGGGCTTCCATTTTCACATGTGAATTGGAAAGTTTAGGCAATCCTGTCTAAAGCCTACTTCAGCTACAATCAAAGTCTCTAGTTATAAACACAACTACAAGCAAAGAGCTGATAGACATAGTTTTTTCTCTATTCCAAAACACAGTATCAGAGCCTAGACAACAAAGGGGGACTTCATCTCTACAAAAAGTTTTTTTAAAAATTAGCCAGGCATGGTGGCAAGCACCTATAGGCAGGCAGATCACTTGAACCCGGGAGGTCAAGGCTGCAGTGAGCTATGGTAGCACCACTGCACTACAGCCTGGGGGAAAGAGCGAGACCCTATCTCAAAATACGAACAAAAAATATATAAAGAGCAATGCATAGTATCAATACTTTCTTAACTTCGTGATTTTAAATGCTCTCTCTTAAGTAATCCACTGATAGAAGATGTTTTTTCTGCTCCTTGATGCTTGTAATCAATCAGTGCTGTATTAGTCTATGGCTGCCATAACAAAATACTACAGACTGGGGGACTTAACAGAAATTTATTCTCTCAGAGTTCTAGAGGCTGGAAGTCCGAGATCCAGGTGTCAGCAGGAGTGGTTTCTCCTGAGGCCTCTCTCCTGGGCTTGCAGATGACCATCTTCTCCCTGTGTCTTCACATGGGCTTCCTACTATGTGCATCTGTGTCCTAATTTCTTTTCATAAGAACACCAGTTACATTAGATTAGGGCCCACCCTATGGCCTCATTTAACATTAATTGCCTCATTAAAGGCCCTTTACAAATACAGTCACATTCTAAAGTACTAGGAAGTATGACTTTGACATATGAGCTTCTGCAGGGGACATAATTCATCCTCTAATAAGTGCTCTCCAATAGCAGTGTCTACACTTAGATTGTAGCCAGGCTTGGTGGCTCACGCCTGTAATCCCAGCACTTTGGGAGACCGAGGCAGGTCAGGAGATTGAGACCATCCTGGCTAACATGGTGAAACCCCATCTCTACTAAAAATACAAAAAAATTAGCTGGGCATGGTGGCATGTGCCTGTAGTCCCAGCTACTTGGGAGGCTGAGGTAGGAGAATCGCTTGAACCCAAAAGGTGGAAGTTGCAGTGAGCTGAGATCACACCACTGCACTCCAGCCTAGGCCACAGAGCAAGACTCCATCTCAAAAAAAAAAAAAAAAGAGATTGCAGCAGAGTTTTTTACATCCTTCAAAACATTGGTATATTAAAATGATGACATCATGGTGATCCCATGGCAAACATGCCAGCGGCGTGATGTAAGGCCTCTGTAAGACCCTCTTTGGAAGGGGAGAGATAAACCATAGAAAGATTTAGGGGCTTGCCCCATCAATATGACATTTGGGGTATGGTGGTCAGGGGCATACGGGGATATTCCTACAAAGTGAAAGACAAATTGCTACTTCTTACATCCCTCACCACAAAGAAGCCCCACTGGATCCTGGAGGCAACAGTTCCACACTCAGGACTGCTTTTCCAGTCCACATGCCAAGTGACACAGAATAGTACCTTCTTTGAATGTGGCCTAGAGCAGGAAAAAGCTCTGCAGGAGGCCCAGGCTGCAGGCAAAGAAGCCCTGCTTTGGACCATACGGTCCAGCAGGCCCAAAGATGCTGGAGGTATCAATGGCGGAGGAGATTCAGTAAGGAGTTAATGCCAAGCTCCAGAGGGAGCATCACAGTGCAGGCTCAGGGGACTTGGAAGAAGGGTATCCTGTCTGTTACTGGGCCCTGGAAGAGACTGAATGTTTGACCATGAAGTAGCAAGTGCTTGTGAATCCAGAACTGCTGGCTTCTGTCAAACTCATCAAATCATAAGATCAAGCAAGCTCAGGTACAATCTATCAAAAAATGGAAATCGTACAACTGGATCGAGCCCAAGCAGGACAAGAGGGTACAGATAAACCACATGAGCAGGTAGCCAGACCTTGGTCATCCACCATGGTTGCACCAGTATCTCTCCCTCAACTTACACTAATGGCCATATGCAAAGAGGGGAGGGTCTCATACAACCATTTGAAGCAGGAAGAAAATGTGTGAACTTGACTTATCTTGGGTTGGCTCAGTGAGTAAGTTCAAGCCACAAATGGATGGCAGCACCACTGTAGCCACACTCAGGGGTGACTGTGAAAGACAGTGGAGAGAGGAACCCTTCCCAATGGGCAAAATGTTGAGCATGCACCTGGGTATGTGTGTTGTGTAGAAAGAAAAGCAGCCCAAGATAAAAATATATCTGGACTCATGGGCAGCAGCAAGTGACTTGACTGTGTCAGGGACCTGGAAAGCCAGGGACATGGAGGTCTGAGGAAAAGGCATTTGGGTAGGCATATGGGAGTGGGTAAAACAAGGAATGATCTCTGAAGTACATGCTGTGCTCAGCAGAAAGCTTTCAACTCCAAAGACGCACTGATGACTGCACAGACAAAATGACTCCCTCTGTTGACATTAGCCAGCCCTTGTCATCAGCCACCCCAGGAGTGGAAACATAAGCACAAAAATGGAGTGGCCATATTGCCAGAGATGGACGCCACACATGGGCTCATCTTCATGGACACTGAGTGCCCTTTCCTGTTTCTAATTTTAATAAAAATGCCTCTAATATTTCTCTCTAAAATGCTAGTTTAGAACTAAGGCATACAGGCTGGGTGCAGTGGCTCATGCCTTTAATGCCAGCACTTTGGGAGAGAGACCAAGGTGGGTGTATCACCTAAGCTTAGGAGTTCAAGGCTAGCCTAAGCAACATGGTAAAACCCCATCTCTACAAAAAAAAAATACAAAAATTAGCCGAGCATGGTGGCATGTGCTTGTGGTCCTAGCTACTCGGGAGCCTGAGGTGTGAGGATGGCTTGAGCCCAGGAGGCGGAAGTTGCAGTGAGCCAAGATTGTGCCACTTGCACTCCAGCCTGGGTGACAGAGCCAGACCTTGTTTAAGAAAAAAAAATAGGCCGGGTACCACGTGGTGGCTCAAGCTGTAATCCCAGCACTTTGGGAGGCCAAGGCAGGCAGATCACAAGGTCAAGAGATTGAGACCATCCTGGCCAACATGGTGAAACCCTGTCTCTACTAAAAATACAAAAATTAGCTGGGCGTGGTGGCATGCGCCTGTAGTCCCAGCTACTTAGGAGGCTGAGGCAGAAGAATTGCTTGAACCCAGAAGGCGGAGGTTGCAGTGAGCCAAGATTGTGCCACTGTACTCCAGCCTGGCGCCTGGTGACAGAGTGAGACTCTGTCTCAAAAAAAAAAAAAAGAACCAAAACATATATGTTTTATCACATTAAGAAAGGATACATCGGACTGGGTGCAGTGGCTCATGCCTATAATCCTAGCATTTTAGGAGGCTGAGATGGGCAGATTGCCTGAGCTCAGGAGTTCAAGACCAGCTTGGACAACATGGTGAAAACCCATCTCTACTAAAACACAATTAAAAAAAAAAAAAAAGCCAAGCATGGTGGTACATGCCTGTAGTCCCAGCTACTTGGAAGGCTGAGCCATAAGAATCACTTAAACCCAGGAGGCAGAGGTTTCAGTGAGCCAAGATCATGCTACTGCACTCCAGCCTGGGCAACACAGCGAGACTCTATCTCCATAAAGAAAGAAAGAAAAAAAAGTATACAGCAATTTTTATTTTCTTCATATTTTCAAAAATCAGCAGTGTGTTGAATTTTGTCAATTATTTTCCAAATTCTCTGAAGATAATCATATTTTTTCTTAAATCTATTAATATAGTATATGATAGTCATGAATTTCCAAATACCAAACCAACCTTACATTCTAGGATCAAATGGTATTTGGATATGCTGCATTATTTTCTTAATGAGGTGTTAGAGTCTGTTTACTAATTTTTTTTTTGAAATAGGATTTTGCTCTCTTGCCTGGGCTAGAGTACAGTGGTATAATCATGGGTCACTGCAGCCTCAACCTTCTAGGCTTAAGCAATCCTCCCCTCTTCAGCCTTCCCAGTGCTGGAACTACAGGTACATACCACCATGCTGGCTAAGTTTTAAAATGTTTTTGTAGAAACAAAGGCCTCACTATGCTTCCCAGTCTGGTAATGAACTCCTGCCCTCAAGCAATACTCCCACCTTGGCCTCCCAAAGTGCTGGGATTATAGATATGAACCACTGAACCCAATTCTAATTTTTGGTTTTGTTTTTTTTGAGATGGAATCTCGCTCTGTCGCCCAGGCTGGAGTGCAGTGGCGCAATCTTGGCTCACTGCAACCTCTGCCTCCTGGGTTCAAGTAATTCTCCTGCCTCAGCTTACTGAGTAGCTGGGATTACAGGTAGGTGCCACCACGCCTGGCTAATTTTTGTATTTTTAGTAGAGAAAGGGTTTCACCATGTTGGTCAAGCTGGTCTTGAACTCCTGACCTCGTGATCCAACCGTTTCAGCCTCCCAAAGTGCTGGGATTACAGGCATGAGGCACCATGCCCGCCTTAATATTTTGTTTAGTACCTGTCATGGGCTGAATTGTATACCCCTAAAACTCATATGTTGACATCCTAACTTTGACATACTTTAGAATGCAATCTTATCTGATGATAAAGTCTTTAAAGAGGTAATTAAGTTAAAATGAGTACTCTGTGATAGGCCCTAATCCAATATGTCTGTGTTCTTCTAAGAAAAGGAGATTGGGGCACAGACATACACTTAAGGAAGACCATACGAGGACACGGGGTGAAGGCAGCCATCTATAAGACAAGAAGAGAGACTGTAAAGAAAACCAAACCTGCTAACACTTTGATCTCAGATTTCCATCCTCCAGAACTGTGAGATTTCTGTTGTTTAAACTACCCAGTCAGGGTTATTTGTTTTGGCAGTCCTAGAAGACTACTACAGTCTCTTAGCCTTGACAATCATACATGATATTAGTCTGTAATTGTTTTTTGGGGTTTTTTTGGTTTTTTTTTTTTTGGAGATGAAGTCTCGCTCTGTCACCCAGGCTGAAGAGCAGTGGCATGATCACGGCTTACTGCAGCCTCAACCTCCCAGGCTCAAGAGATCCTCTTATCTCAGCCTCTGGAATAGCTGGGACTACAGGCATATGCCACCAAGCCCAGCTGATTTTTAATTTTTCTGTAGAGATAGGGTCTCATTATGTTGCCCAGGCTGGTCTTTAACTCCTGGGCTCAAGCAATCCTCCCACCTCAGCCTCCCAAGCTGCTCGAATTACAGCCCTAAACCATTGTGCCCAGCCTGTTTTTTGTATTATTTTTAGCAGAAATAAGTATCAGTTATCCTGGCTTTACAAAAAGAAATTAAACTTTTTTCTTCATTTTCTATTTTCTGAAACAATTTATGTAGAATTGTGACTATCTGATCTTTAAAAATTTGCTTAGAATATCTTTGTGGAACATTCGGAGCCTGCTTCTTTCTGACGCAATTTCTATTTCTCCTGTAGAAATTGGTCTGCTTAAGTTTTCTATCACTAGAAAATTCTGGTGAAGTGTGATTTCCTGTATAATTATCTATTTCATGAACATTTCCAAATGCATGTGCATTGTGATTTGCAAAATGTCTTTGATATTTTTTGTTTTGTTTTGGGACAGGGTCCTATTTTGTCACCCAGGCTGGAGTGTAGTGGCATGATCTTGGCTCACTGCAGCCTTAACTTCCTGGGCTACAGGTGCACACCACCAGGCCCAGCTAAATCTTGTTGTATTTTTTGTAGAGC